ATTGGCTTGATACCTTCATTACCAGGGATCTAATTCTAACTTACACTTCATGATACTCGACTATATTCTTTCAAATACCTTTTCCTCTTGTGTTAAGAGAAAGTGTTTTCTATTTCATCCATATCTTTACTTATTACTTCATTATTTCCTTCTCACCAGCAAGTTCGAAATAACTGTAATCTCAAGTGCTTAAATAATACGAATGGCAAATGAAAATTCGATAATTCACGTCACTCATGATCTAGCTGTCCTTCCACAACTGCTTTGGCGACAGCGCTGCATATAATTACCAAAATAATATTCATGAAAACCCGAGTGAGAGGAGTGTACTGCCATACCTCCCCCTTTTCCTTTGTTTCTTTCTCTCGGTGAAAAACAGCCTCCGAACTACCTCTTACCCCCGTTGATGAGACGTAAAGACACACCTACCTCTCCTCTTCCACTTAAATGGCCGAATTCACCCGATCCTCCCCTTGCGTCGGTAAAATACAGCTATTTTTGAAAGCCCTGACGTCGTTCTTTCCCTTCGCAGAGCTCGAGTCCGACTGCCTTCGCTTTCCTCAATGTAAACAATAACAAAGCGGATTCTGCGGTGGTGCCGCTGTTACGGAATCGGGGGAGAAAATCATGCTCTTATGTGATAATTTTTCCTATCCTATCTTTCCCTAGGATTTGATTTTATGTTTTGAAAACATTTAGGGGTTGTAGCAATCGGTTGATAGGCGATGTATCTCCTCGGAAAGGGGCTTGAGAAACGCAGTAATATGTGAGTAGCACCACTGTACACACTGCTGTTGCCACCTTGTTTTGGGGAGAATTTTTTTTTCTCTACCTTTATGGATTATTTCGGAGAGGAAACCTTTTATCGACGAAACACTCATGCCCTAGATCAATGACCCGTGTATACTAGTCCTCTCTTTTCTCTATACATACTTTTAAATCTTTTTCTCTCTCTCTCATTCACGTGTTATTGTTATGTGTTGATTTCGTGTGCGCAGTCCGACGCCCAGCTGAGTACAGGGAGTGCTTGGGGCGAATCAGCTGGAAAGGTCGCCATCAGCTGAGCGACAGATGTGAGCTGCCAAAAGATGTCCGCCTTGGGAACATTCCTCGGTTTTAGGGGTCATGAGGAACACTTGTTATGATATTTAAGTGTTATGTCTATCATGTTTCGGTGGATCTATATATAGAATGTGTGTGTGTGTGTGTGTGTGTGTGTGTGTGTGTGTGTGTGTGTGTGTGTGTGTGTGTGTGTGTGTGTGTGTGTGTGTGTGTGTGTATGTTTGAGGGGGGCAGACAGGCAGACAGAACAAGTTCTAAACACACACACACACACACACACACACACACACACACACACACACACACACACACACACACACACACACATACTTAGTGTGAGAGTGTGTAAGTGTGTGCGTATCCGGAGTCATATTTCATACCTTAGTTTTTGCTTGGAACCTAACCAAGTGCTTCCCTTAATAAATCATATCATAACAGAGGCAGACAATGAAAATACATGACATTATAATTATCAAGTCCAACAGAATGCTTGATACGATATTGTTTTCTATTACACGTAAACGAATTTTGAGGTAAGAACTTACCCAATTTGCACACAAAATCTACTAATTAGTTAGAGTGAAAGAACGCAATTATTTCCGTTATATTATCAGTTGGAAGATTTTAAAAATGTCCAACGACGCTCTTGTCTAAGAAACACGCACTGACATCCTGTAAAAAAAAAAAAAAAAAAAAAAACTTTAGGCCCGTTATCTCTCACAGGTAAGACCGGAATTAGCTGACGTTCTATGTATATTACGCTCAAACAGACGAACGAGAGAGAGAGAGAGAGAGAGAGAGAGAGAGAGAGAGAGAGAGAGAGGAGAGAGAGAGAGAGAGAGAGAGAGAGAGAGAGAGAGAGAGAGAGAGAGAGAGAGAGAGAGAGAGAGAGAAGAGAGAGAGAGAGAGAGAGAGAGAGAGAGAGAGAGAGAGAGAGAGAGGAGAGAGAGAGAGAGAGAAGAGAGAGAGAGAGAGAGAGAGAGAGACAGACAGACAACAGACAGACAGAGAAAGAGAAAGAAGACAAAGGCAAAGACACAAAGAGAAAAAACAGAGACAGACAGACACAGAGACACAGCGAGGGGGGGGGGGGGCAACCACGGGTGACAGGGACTCCGCCCAGCTGTTTCCGTGGGCGGGATCAGCGTCCAAAAGCAAGGCTTGGTGCCGCCCACACGCCGCGAATGGGCGTGTGGGCGGGCACTGTTGACGATCCTTGTTCCTTTAGCGAAGAAGGAACAAGAAAAATGACGAAGAGCTGGAAAGGATTTTGAAACGCTTTGTGCTGATTTCAATATATATATATATATATATATATATATATATATATATATATATATATATATGTATATATATATATATATATATATATATATATATATATATATATATATATATATATATATATATATTATACATATTTGTATATATATTATAT